TGGACACCGGTGCACAGTGTACCCTAATGCCATCAAGCTATACAGGGGCAGAACCCATCTGTATTTCTGAGTGACAGGGGGATCCCAACAGCTAACTGTATTGGAGGCTGAAGTGAGCCTAACCAGGAAGAAATAGCAGAAGCAGCCCATTGTGACTGGCCCAGAGGCTCCATGCATCCTTGGCATAGACTACCTCAGGAGAGGGTATTTCAAGGACCCAAAAGGGTATAGGTGGGGTTTTGGTATTAGCTGCCTTAGAGACAGAGGAAACAGTTGTCCACCTTGCCCAGTCCCTCGGAGAAACCTTCTGTTGTGGGGTTGCTGAGTGTCAAAGAACAACAGGTGCCTATCACCACCACAGCGGTGCACTGGTGCCAATATCGCACCAACCGAGACTCCCTGATTCCCATCCATAACCTGATTCATCAACTGGAGAGCCAGGGAGTGATCAGCAACTTGTTCACCCTTTAACAGTCCCATATGGCCAGTGCAAAAGTCAAACGGAGAGTGGAGGCTAACAGTAGACTATTGTGGCCTTGAACAAAGTCATGCTGCCACTGAGTGCTGCTGTGCCAGACATGCTAGAACTTCCATACAAACTGTAGTCAAAGGCAGCCAAGTGGTATGCCACAACTGATACCGCTAATGCGTTTTTCTCAACCCCCTTGGCAGCAGAGTGCAGGCCACAGTTTGCTTTCGCTTGGAGGGGTGTTCACTACACTTGGAACTGACTGCCCCAGGGGTGGAAACACAAGCTTTCTTAGGTGTTGTGGTTTTTTGGAGAATGCATATTCCAAATTACAGTCTGATCATAAGCCCTCTCTATCAAGTGACCCGGAAGAAGAACGATTTCAAATGGGGCCCTGAGCAACAACAAGTCTTTGAACAAATTAAATGGGACATAGCTCATGCAGTAGCCCTTGGGCCAGTCCAGGCAGGGCAGGATGTAAAAAATGTGCTCTACACCTCGGCCGGGGAGAATGGACCTACCTGGAGCCTCTGGCAGAAAGCACCAGGGGAGACTCAAGGTCACCCCCTAGGGTTTTGGAGTCAGGTATACAGAGGATCCAAGGCCTGCTATACTCCAACTGAAAAAGAGATATTGGCAGCATATGAAGCAGTTCAAGCTGCTTCAGAAGTGGTTGGTACCGAAGCACAGCTCCTGCTGGCACCCTGATTGCCGGTGCTGGGTTGGATGTTCAAACGGAGGGTCCGCTCTACACTCCACGCACCTGATGCTACATGGAGTAAGTGGGTTGCACTAATCACACAATGGGCTCGAACAGGAAACCCTAGTCACCCAGGAATCTTGGAAGTGATCATGGACTGGCCAGAAAGCAAAGATTTTGGAGTATCACCAGAGGAGGAAGCCCCACTGTACAATAAACTGTCAGAAAATGAAAAGCAATATGCCCTGTTCACTGATGGGTCCTGTCATATTGTGGGAAAGCATTGGACGTGGAAAGCTGCTGTATGGAGTCCTATACGACAAGTTGCAGAAAGGGAATCGAGTCAGTTTGCAGAGGCGAGAGCCATCCAGCTGGTTTTAGATATTGCAGAATGAGAGAAGCAGCCAGTACTTTACCTCTATACTGACTCATGGATGGTGGCAAATGCCCTGTGGGGGTGGTTGCAGCAAGGGAAGCAGAACAACTGGCAGCAAAACCCATCTGGGCTGCGGCATTGTGGCGAGATATTGCTGCCTGGGTAGAGAACCTGGTTGTAAAAGTACGTCACATAGATGTTCATGTACCCAAGAGTCGGGCCACTGAAGAACATCAAAACAACCAGCAGGTGGATCAGGCTATTGAGATTGAAGTGGCTTGGGTGGATCAGAACTGACATTATAAGGGTGAATTATAGCTCAGTGGGCCCATGACACCTCAGGCCATCAAGGAAGAGATGCAACATATATAGATGGGCTCATGATCGAGGGGTAGACTTAACCGTGGACACTATTGCACAAGTTATCCATGAATATGAAACATGTGCTGCAATCAAGCAAGCCAAGTGGTTAAAGCCTCTCTGGTATGGAGGACAGCGGATGAAATATAAATATGGAGAGGCCTGGCAGACTGGTTATATCACACTCCTACAAACCTGCCAAGACAAGCGCTATGTGCTCACCATGGTGGAAGCAAGCACCAGATGGTTGGAAACATATCCTGTGCCCCATGCCACCACCCAGAACACTATCTTGGGCCTTGAAAAGCAAGTCCTGTGGCAACATGGCACCCCAGAAAGAATAGTCAGACAACGGGACTCATTTCAAAACAACCTCATAGACACCTGGGCCAAAGAGCACGGCATTGAGTGGGTATATCACATCCACTATCATGCACCAGCCTCTGGGAAAATCAAACAATACAATGGACTGTTAAAGACTACACTGAGAGCAATGGGTGGTTGGACATTCAAACATTGGGATACACATTTAGCAAAAGCCACCTGGTTACTCAACACTAGGGGATCTGCCAATTGAGCTAGCTCTGCCCAATCAAAACATTTACATACTATAGAAGGAGATAAAAGTCCCTGTAGTGCATGTAAAAAATATGCTGGGGAAGACAGTCTGGGTTACTCCCCCGTCAGACAAAGGCAAACCTGTTGGTGGGATTGCTTTTGCTCAAGGGCCTGGGTGTACTTGGTGGGTAATGCGAAAGGATGGGGAAGTCCGATGTGTACCTCAAGGGGATTTGATTTTAGGTGAAAACAGCGAATGAACTGAATTGTATGATGTTAATTGCTACATAATACTGTATGTCATCTCTTTTATGGTTGCTATATGCCACATCAATGGTATTACAGTAAGAATCACCCAGATTAGTGAAGAACGAACTTTGATGAAACCAAGCAAGGTACAGCAGTGTTGGAACCAGAACTGGCTTCAGCATGCAACAATCCAACACTGCACACCATCTCTCCTGGCCTGAAAGACTGTTGTGACAGATGGAACCCAAAGTCGTGGACTAAATGAACTCAATGGACATTTTAGAGGGATGGCCCATAGATAACGGGAATGATATCTGTGTGTATATATCAAGACAGGGAAAGTGGTGGTGATTAATTGGATTGTACTGGAAAGCGTAGGACCTGGGCATGACGTAGATGGTATAGAACAAGGGGTGGATACTGTCATGGTTTTGGCTGGGATAGAGTTAATTTTCTTCCTAGTAGCCAGCACAGTGCTGTGTTTTGGATTTAGTTTGAGAATAAGGTTGATAGCAACAACTAAAACATCAGTGTTAAGTAGTGCTTACACTAATCAAGGACTTTTTCAGCTTCCCATGCTCTGCCAGGTGCACAAGAAGCTGGGAGCGGGCACAGCCAGGACAGTTGATCCAAACTGACCAAAGGGCTATTCCATACCATATGACGTCATGCTCAGTATATAAACTGAGGGGAGTGGGCCGGGGGGCAGCAATCGCTGCTTGGGGACTGACTGGGCATCATTGGTCAGTGGGTGGTAAGCAACCGCATTGTGCATCACTTGTTTTGTATATTCTTTTACTGTTATTATTTTCTCTTCCTCTGCTGTCCTATTAAACTGCTTTTATCTCAACCCAGGGGTTTTACTTTTTCTTTCCGATTCTCTCCCACATACCACCAGGGCAGGGAGGGTGAGCGAGCAGACGTGTGGTGCTTAGTTGCTGACTGGGGTCAAACCACAACACTTTGAAATAAAAACACATAAACATAGGAACAACTGCAATACAGAAACATGAAAATAATTCTTCTCCCATTTGTTTTGTGCTCTCAACTGCAGTGCATCCCAATCAGTGTAACAAAAAACATAAGAATCCATGAGTATGGGAGATAAGCACTAAGAAAAGTCTGCAAAGACAAAACTTCTCAGCTCCCACATTGCCTACAGAAGTGCCCTCCTGTCCAGCCACCTATTCCAAACCTCCACTTTTTTCTGAGTTCACTTGCAGCAAGTTTTAAAAAACAACAAATTCACATTACTCTGGGTTGAACATACTGAATTGCACTAGAGACGTCACATGAAGCAACACACCAGCAGCTCTTTGTCTCACACAGCGAGAGACATACAGCTTTGGCTTTTTCTTTGACCTGACTTGCAAAACAAGAGAAGTAGCAGCACACTGCAGGGCAAAAGCACAGAGGCTCTACCTGGCATCCTGCCAGCTAGCTATAACAGATTTTGATACTGTGTTGTTTTATATATAGCAAGAAGCAGGTCCCAGCCTTCTGCTCAAGCTTCAGATTTCCAAATGGTGTGAGGAGTAATTGCTTGTAGAACAGGCTAATTTTGAAGTGAAAGAGGGCACAGGCGATAGTGTGAGCAATACTGGCAGAGATGCTTGATGTCAATCAGGAAGGAAAGAAATGGAATAGCTGTGGATTGTCATGTGAATTAAAGCAAAACTATTTCAGATAACGGGGGGAAGGTAAAAATTGCATGAGACTGGACCTTCAACCCCTTTGATGTTTTAGATCTTCAGTGTCTCCCACTATCCTGTTTCCACGTGGATGGGTGCACCTATAAGTATCTGTAACCACATAAGAGTTATTTAAGGTAAGTTAGCAAAACTGAAAACACTAACTTTAACCTCTCAAAATACCCCTGAGGGAGCACAGGGAGCAGAAGGGCAGGAAGAAAAAAGAACAGTAAAGTATATAACCTGGCAGACCTGAATTGGTTTACCATATGAAACCTGGATAAAATGCAAATTAAGGAAACACAAGTCCATATTAGAGTAAGCCAAAAAAGGGGGGGGTGGGGGGGTGAGGTGGTGTGTAAAAAGCAAAAATCTGAGAACCTACAACTAGCTCTAAGGTTAAAAATTTACAGAAAATTCTCAGTATGATCTCTGCATGTTAGCATTATGACCAAAGAGAAGGCATTTACTTAAAGAAACTTAAAGACATTTTAAAAACTTAACTATTACACACACTACTCAAAACACATTACGGAGCAACTAAGATGTTAACTTGAATGAAAAAAAAAAATCTAAAGAAAAATACCATGTACTTACTATCATTTAGTGTTGTGAAGTCCAGGAATCGATATTCATAGCAAACATCTATCTTGGTTTCTACCTGGGGCCTCTTCAAAGTTGAGTAGATATTACCAGGTCGTTTTTCATCATGCTTCTCTAGTTTGTTCAATCCACAACCCATTTCAGCAGCTCCTGATACAAAAAGGCAGGGAAAGGAAAAAGGGAAAATGCATAAACACCATTCATATTAGTTTTTCTATTTCCATTTTCATGCAACACAATAGTACATTGCGGTGATTTTTAGTTTTTAAATACAAGCTACCTACAAAATATATGAAACTATATAATTAAATAAATGCTCAGATAGTAACTGAAGTATATACCACCGTATCAACCCTCAGGCATGCTATTATTTTATTGGAAAATTGACAGTTTAATGCATGTATTTTGCATCTTTCACACGCATTCAGTAGTATATTCTGGAAGACACATATTCCATTATAAAAAGTGGCTGAAAATGCAAAATAACTCGCTAATATAAGGGTTGACAACTTAATAACAATTTCTGCATATGCAGTTACTATGAGAGCAGATAGTATTATCTTTTACACAGATCTTTGTAACATTCAAATTAATATCTATACTTGCAATTCAATGGAGGAAGCAGGTTTGCTGTACCAGCCTTTAGAAAACTACCTCATTTCCTTCCACCTCATTTTTTCAGGTAAGCCACAAGAAATAATGGCACTTTATAGAAGCCAACTTCAAACCAGAAGAGGCACATGACCACAGAACTGGACTAGACAGATCTAGTTCTCTACTAAGCTGCCAGTCCACAACATTTTAAAGGATTACACATCAAATGTTTCTCAATATCCTGCACATTATGGCTCATCTGAGTATGAAAGAATGGAAGAATTGCTTGGTGAAAATACTCAGATGATCCAAACCCTCCCATTCCTCTTCCAACAATGCTGGTCGGACTGAGGCAAACCATTTCAACCACCAGTAAGCATGAGAAGATAAAAAGACACAGCAGCTAGGCACCTGAGGTTTTTCATTACAACCCACCCAACATCCTGCCTCTGCCTACACGGAGAAACTCATGCTTTGGGGATGGGAAGAGAGATGCAGAATAAACTCCCAGTGACAAAGAGGGGACCCTGCAGGCTACCCCGGACACTTTGCGGCATGGGATCCATTCAGTATAAATGCGTTGCATGAAGCATCACAAAGATCGGCGTTTCAGCCTCCCTGCAACCTCCAACAGATAGCAACGAGCACCTGAAAAACTTCAGTCGCAGACCGGGACTGCCTTTACCTTGACAATTAATAAACCTGAAGTGGAGACTGAAAAACTAGTTCAGGTTCCCTGTCTCGAAAGATGTGCCTGTAAGTGTATGCCACAGCTCCATCTCCCAAATGGTCAGAAAGTCAGTCAAATTTCCAGGCCTAATGTATTTAGAATCTACTTGTAGAAATTTATTTATACTTATATTGTGCTTTAACTTCATAATTTTTGTCCCTCCTTCACATTTCCTTGTGAAATCATTTTTATGAATAGTTACCAAACCCCTTCCCACATTTTGCTAGCATAAATGTACTCAAGTTATTTCCTGCCACTTACAAGACAGGATCTCTGCTCCATCACTCCACCCACCCTCATTTGCATCACTCCTGTTTTCATTCCTCTGCATGAACACAGGTGATCATATGCTCGAAATGAGATCTTAACAAAGCCTATTAAAATCACATTGATGCTTCCCTGTCTCTACTGCAAATAACATGCCTACTACACCTAAAATCATCAGTCACAACTGAATCACATTCACAGTTTGCCATCAGCTTCCCAGTAGCCAAAGAACCCATTTCTCTTTACTTTTATCCAACACAGCTAATTGAGGAGTTTCCAAATCATCCCCCATAACTATGCTCTATTCCTTTGCATTTCTACTACTGGGTAATAAACTCATCCCATTCTCCCTCACCCCTGGGAGAGCTGGAAGTCTTTCCAGGCTCTGCAATGCCACACACCTTCACATCATCTGTGGAGTCTGTGAGCGCACACCTACGTCTTATTGCAAAGTCACTAATAAATACAGCAAAATAGGACTGACCAATGCATCAAACCTTAAAAAAATACCATAGTAAATATTTGATCACACAGAACCTGGAAGCAGAAAAAACATTTGCTAGAAAGACCTGCAGCATCAAGAAAAATGGATGATGTGCCATACACATTCCTGAACTTTAAATATTTGGGGGATTCATCCAACAGAAAACAACCTTCCCTGCTTAATTTGACAAAAAAGTAAAACCTACTTTATTTTAACAATTTCTATAGATGAAAGCAAGGTTTTGGGATTTTTTTTTTTTTCTTTTGGCATTTAAGATTAAAAATCCTCAGGATCTTTTTCTGTTCCCAAAGTGTTACTTTCTACCTTTTTTTTTTTTTTTTTTGTAATGGCAACTACTACCATTAATTTAAAAAAAAAAAAAAAAGGATTATTCTTTCATATATACAGCAGCTTCTTTCTTTTTCCCATGCAATATGATTAGCTTAGGTCTAAAATGTTATTTCTTTTAATATATAAATGTATATTGTATATTAATGTGCCTAAAAAGATACTATAAGTATTTCCATGGACTGTAACAGAACATATCTAAGAGTATACTTGTGCTTTAAGATATTGTAGAGTGAGGAACTAAGATAGCAATAAGTGTTAGCACGTGTATCACATATCTTGTTTCAGCAATGGCCCAGTAATTCTTACACATCATAAGTATACAGTATGACATTTCATAAGGAAAAAAATTCCATTTCAGAGGTCAGTAAGCAGCAGTGCCTGCAACCTTTAGTTATGCAAAGAGTCTGAAATCCACAGGACTCTTCAGACAGCGATGGTGGCAGAAGGAGACCTTGGGGACTCCGTATTTCACATCTGTCGTGGAAACCAGGACAACATCACAGAGAGTTTTGCATTCTTTCCTAAATTGGGGGAAAGTGCTAGAACATAGAAGCCTGCTCTTCCAGCAGCAGCCACAGACACTCTCCCATGCTTCTCTACCAAACATTGCCTCGACCCTTTTAAGAAAACCGGTCTACTCTCACTGCCCATGCCAGCACCAATCTCTGCAAACAGTGCCAACCCACAAGTCGTTCAGCATGGAGATACCTGCCCACTTGGGACTGGACTGAAAACATACATTTTTTGTATTAATTCACGGAGTGACTGCTTACCAGAAGACTGATTTTCACCTTCCTGCTGCTTGGCTAACTTCAGTTAATATCCTTGAGGATAAATACCTCCCCACATTTAGCTAAGTACAGACATATATTTACGTTACTAAGGCACACATATGGAAAAGGATGCTTTCACTGGAATAAAAATGAGGTTTCAGTAGAAAAAAAAATAAAGTTTCACAACTTCACAATCTTTTCCACAGTAACTAGGATGCAAGTGCTGCAGCAGTATAAAATAAATCTTAAGAAACAAAGTTCCTACTTTAATACAGGAGTTTAAGTATTAAAAGAATTCCAGAGAGGTATGAATACTAAAGATACTGATTGATGTGCATATGACAAGTAATCACTGAATCACCAAATTCTGCTCCATGTTATCCCACAAACTTGCTACTGGGACAGCTTGCTTTTTAACCCTCCAAAGACTTTTAGCATCAGTTATTACCCTCTTCCTTCCTTTCCTTTGCAGCAAAGGTAGTGCTGTTCAGAGTCTTTCCATCCTCCTCTGAAAACATCTCCTTGCTTTTCAGTTACAATTCTGTTGTCAAGAGGACATTATTCACCACCTTAATTTTCTACATTGAAGTTATCAAAGAGTGCTGTAAGAAATGTTCATCATTGATGCATTCAAAGTAATCTAAACCCACTTCAATCCCCTTTTTCAGCAGGCATATTGTTTTGCTATAAGGGATGCCTAAGGTTACTGTACTACATATATTTATCCTGACTTTCTATAACCACATGTGAATTCTACTTCTTTATTCAGTATTAAACCAACAAATTATCACTAATATTCACTTTTTAGTAAATTCAAAAACAACTCTTCAAAAACACTGCAAAATTTTCAAGTTATTTTTTGCTCTGCAGTAGGTTCTAAGCTTTACCTTTTTCATTAATGTAAAAATTGATTATCAACTCACTAGTTCCATACTCACGAGAAATACCTTGAGTGAGAGAAAAAGTAACATCTAATGAAGAACTAAAATTAAGATTTAGCTATGGGCTCTTACAGCTACACACTCTGGAAAAACTAATTCTGCCCACAAACTCACTTAGATTGTGAATTAATCTTGCGCGTGCTCTATGATCCTGATAACCTCTAAAATTGTTCTTGTGTTCAGCCATGTGATGATAAAACTAGAAGTGAAACCCAGATCTAACAATAGATAGGGGTTTTTTAGTCTCCATCTCCTTTTAATTTTGCAAAACATCAAAAATGGAAGCTGTGATGAGTTGCAGAACAACAGCAAAGCCTACAGTCAATTAATTCCTACGTTTGTGTTGTGAATGACAGCAAAGTCCCCCACTGATTTGGAAATGAGCCGCTTTCTACTGCAAACTGAGTCCAAAAATTTAACCCAGGTTTTGTACATCCCAAGCAAATGCCCAACTTGCAAGCCACAGAATAAGCCTCTTGCAGCCACTTCCTCCTCCCCGTTACTGTCCTTTGTTGTGTATTTGAAGAGCAGAGGAGCTCTGGGGAGTGTCGGGAGGAAAAGGAGAGAAACCCACCCCAGCATGGCAAATGAACTGCCCCAGACACTCCTTCCTGATGCAAGTTTTATTGAAACTGGTACCATCCTTTGCCATGCAAAACAAAAAAATCACAACAAACTGTACTCAGCAAGAGAAAAAAACAGCATTTCCATTTTTAAGCATCGCCGTGATCCATGAAAATGAGTGTATCTTGAATAAAATATAGGAGTTTTTATAGCTCTTTTAGAGATCTGCCAAGTTTTCAACTTACCATCTCTGAACCTAAGCTTTGTTAAAATACTCTCTGCAGCTTGGGTTTGCTTTCTCACTTTACTAGCTTGTGTTCAAAATAGAAGAACTGCAACAAGTTCAGAATTAGCAAAGAAGAAGAACAAGCATAAAAGAATATCACGTAGCTAACAACTTATTTTCTTGATAATAGCGGCTCAGGCCCCAGGATT